CTGGGTCACCCCACTCCCCAGCACCTGATACCCTCACAGGAACTTGAAGGCATTTGGGCCTGAAGGGCATGACTGGGAGGGTACAAAGGGGGCTCAGTGAGCAGCCATGGGACATACACGCAGACACGCCTGTGGGCATGGCTCAATGAGCTCCCCACACTGACCTGGCCGCATGACCAGCACCAGCCATTAAAGCGTTGCCAGTGCCCGGGAGCCCCTGCAGCCATCTCACATAGCCTAGATCCATCTCTGAGCCTGGCTTTCAACCTTCCAAAAGTGGAACCATGCAAGTGGGGGTCTGGCTTCCTCTGCCCTCAGAGAACGTCCTGGGGCTCAGCAGCTGCGTCCCGCCACTCTCACTACTGCGCCAGGCACAAGCCTGCAGCTTGCTGTCCAGCAGCAGAGAGACCAGGAGATGCTTCTAGTTTGGGGCTGCCACAAGCAGAGCCACCCTCAACACTTTGTTTCAGTCAACTTTCAGTGACAGATCCTTCTCCTGACAGCTGACCCAGCTGGTTGGGTGGACACCACCCCTGCTGGAGACCCTGCTTTCCCTCCCACTTCCTGCCACCTTCAGCCTGAGGTAGGAGGTACTGGGGAGGGCGGAGGCAAGTGTGTTGTCTTGTCTCCCTCCTGGATTTAGGAGACCTCTCTACAGAGCCCAGCAGAGGCCTGCAACCCCACGGTTCTGGAGGCAAGAGGAGTGCAGGTCCACCTTGGTGCTCGTACAGGGCCATGGGAAAACAGGCCCCAAGTCCAGCATCTTTCTTGTCAGGCCCCACTCAGCCCTTCCGAGGCTGCCCATCAGGCCAGCCTGGAGTTTCCAGAGGGAGGCCTCAGGCGGGCTGGGGCCAGGAGGATGGCCTCAGCCAGGGTTCCTTTGCTTACCCAGTCCTGAGTCTGCAGTCCCTGCTGAGCACTGCTCTGAGTACTGGGCTGGCCCGAGGCTGCTGTAGGGCCCAGTGGGGGCCGCCTGTGCTCTTGGGAGAGGTGCCACTCCAGCTTCTTCCCCTGGGGGGCCAGCTTCCTGCTGTCCATCTCTAGCACTAGTAGACTGCTTGTCCACAGCTCTGAGATCGGGGGAGGGAGCAGGATGAGGTGGGGCAGGGCCCCAAGGCCACCGTATGCCCACCAGTACCTGAGTCCCTGGGGTCAGATGGGGGCAGTGTCAGGGTCTGCTAGGGTCGCCTTCGAGCCAGCGGTCAGGTATCACTGGGTGGGGCTCACCAGGGAGCCCGACGCTCGACCCCACTGGGTGGAGCGGATCCCCCAGCTTCCGCCGCAGCTCTTCTCCACATCAGCCTCCCGAACTGCCCTCTGCCCCTGCCCTCCCCACCCCGGGAGCCTGGTCAGCCTTCAGCAGCCTCCCCGCACGGACTCCACGCCTCTGCCAGACCCGGTTTCAGGGGCATCCGCCCTCAGCCAGCACTGCGGGCACCTCCCAAGGCCCGGCCTTGCGACGCCCGGGGCGAAGGAAAGGCCCAGAGCTCTTGCCGCCACACTGCCCCCGCCCCTGAGACCTCCACGCCTCACCCCAGCAGGCCCAGCCCAAGCCCTTACGTGCCCGCCCTCTCCGGGGCGAGTGCGCGGCCAGGGGAGAAGGGCTCAGGACACACGCCGGAAGCCGGGGGCACCCTGGGGTTCGCCGCGGGGAGGGGCACGCAGGAAGGCGGTCAGCGGTGGGGGTAACGCGGGCGACCGGAGACGAGGGATACGGAGCCGCCGCGGATGGAGGGGCCACAGGGTGACGGGTGGGGCCCACGGCGGCCCCAGGGGCCCGCGCCTCGCTCCGGAACTTCCGCTGTGCAGGCCCCGCCCCCACCGGTTCCGGTTCCGCTTCCGGCCTGCGCCGCGCCTGCGTCTTGGGTTCCGTTTCGGGGTGTATGGGGGGGTGGGGGCGCGGCCTCGTGGTCCCCGGCACAGACCCGGGTTCATCGCCGCTGTCGCCTCGCGGGCCCTTGTGGGCGTCGGCCTCTGGGTCTGCCTCAGCGCAGACCTGAGCTTTGAGTTCTTCCGCCCCAGCGCCCTTCCGCCCTGCACGCTTCCCGGGGCCCTCCTCCCCGCGCGCGGTGCCGCAGGGGTGCGGCGAGGCGGACCCGGGAAAGGGCGCGTGGGCGGGAGGGAGGCGCTGCGGCCGCTCTGCGCGAGCCCCCGAGGGGTGGACTGCCGAGAGAATCACACCGCAGGCAGGGGCAGGCCCCTCCAGGTTTATTAGTGTCGCATCAGCACCTTAAAATAGTCCACACGGTCACTACGTGACAGATTAGAGTCCGTTCCCCAAAAAGCTATTTACATTAATGCCGGTTTCATTAAAAAAAAAAAGAAAAACTAGCAACACATACACCCTAGAAACCAAACAATGCACAATGAACCGCATGGGGGTCTGCAGAAACGACAGTGGTGCCTCTGTGCCTGCAGTCAGGCTCCAGGGGTACCCTGCAGCCGACACCCGCAGGCGAGAGGACAGGGCTGGGGAGGGGCGGCTCAGGAACCGGAGTGGGTCTGGAGGAATTCATTCCCGGAGGAAGGCCAGAGACATTCAGGTCTTTGCCTCTGGGAATGAGGACAGCATGAAGAGGTGCCAGTCCCCTGGAGCGCCCCCCTCACCCCCCGCAGCTCTCACCCAGGGGCCCTCTCCGGCCCCAGCCCTGGCCGAGGCACTGACCCAGGACACTGGCCTGTGTGCCCAGAGACCAACATGGAAGAGGAAGGCAGCGGGCCAGGTGGGGCTGGCCCCCAACTGGCCTGGTCAAGGGTGGAGGGTGGAGTCTGTCTACGTAATAGTGGAAGGTAGCCACCAGGCCTGACGGGTGCCTCGGCGGTGACAGGTGGCCTAACCTTTGAGGCTGACGGGGTTGAGCCCAACTCTACAAGGGTTGCCTTCCATCCTGTGGGGCCAGTCCCCGGCCAAGGTCTCAGGGGCGTGCTGGCCTCACATACCCCGCCCCGCCCCCCCCTGCCCCCACCCTTACCGCACTGGCTGTCAGATGGCTTTGGTTTCTAGTTGTCCTCGGAGGGACAGGGTGCTCCTCCATGCACCCTCAAACAGCTCTGAGGTAGGCAGGGGAAACACCACTATCCTAACCAGTGGAAAAACTGAGGCACAGAGAGCGAGCCCAGCCCAGGTCTCGTTTGCCCAACCACTGTGGCACTGGGCATGGAGTGGCGGATGGATGAGTGGTGTGCAAGCCAGACCTGCAGACCAGCAGCGGCAGGGGCGCAGGGAATGCCACCAGAACCCCCAGCTGCTGGATGGTCTGCCATGTTATTCCCTTGCAGAGCCAGATGGGGAGGTGTGTGGTAGGCAGGAGGGCTCCAGGAAAGGGGCTGCCCACAGCCAGGATGCACTAGGCAGCCTGTGGCCCCTTCCTCTAAAACCTGCTCTGAGGCCAGAAAGCCATGGCAAGGTTGTTTCCACCTTCATCTTCCTACTGAGTGTGACCTTTGGGAAAGAAACTGTAAGACCAGGCCGGACGCGGTGGCTCACACCTGTAATCCCAGCACTTTGGGAGGCCGAGGCGGGTGGATCACTTGAGGTCGGGAGTTCAAGACCAGCCTGGCCAACATGGCAAAACCCCATTTCTACTAAAAATACAAAAATAACAGCCATGTGTGGTGGCAGGCGCCTGTAATCCCAGCTACTCGGGAGGCTGAGGCAGGAGAATCGATTGAACCCAGGAGGCAGAGGCTGCAGTGAGCCGAGATTGCACCACTGCATTCTGGCCTGGGTGACGGAGCGAAACTCCGTCTCAAAAATAAAAGAAACTGGAAGAGAAGAAAAACAGACGCTCTGGTCTGGAGCCCAGCACTGGGAAGCTGGAATGAGGGGGAGGGTCAGGGTCCCACCTGTTTGAGTGTTGCCAAGGTCAGAGGCCATCAGCCCAGGGACCCACGCCCTCACCCCAGACCCCTCCCCCCTCCCCGCAGGGTGTGCCTGAGGCTCCTGGTCCCAGGTGAAGCTGGAGGCCCTGGTATGGAGGGGCTCTGGTTGAGAGGGGCTCCAACTTGGCACTGCATACCGGCTACCTCTGAGCCCTGAAACCAAGGGGCTGAGGTCCCACCCCAGGTCACATCCTGGCACCTCGCCACAACAAAAGCACCCTGTTCAGCCACCTGCGGGGAGGGGGCACGGGAAGAGCAGGGCAATCACAAGTAAGAAACATGGACCATTTCTCAGGCCAACAAGGGTGGAAACCCCTCCAGCCCAGGCTCGAGGCCCACCTGCCCTGTTTGTCAACTTTCCAAGCGTAGCCTTGCACAGTGCTCCATCTTACGAAACCAGGCCCAGAGGCCCCCAGGGGTGACCAGGGTCACTGGGGGTCCCCAGCTTCCTTGGTTCCCTCCTACGGAGACCCCAGAGTGCAGGCTTGCTGGGGAGAAGCAGGACCGAGGGGCAGGTGCAGTTGGGGAGGCCCCTCTCCTGCTGTGTGGAGGGCATGGGACCCGACACACTCTGAGTCTGGACTAGAGAGGCTCCCAGGCCCTGGACAGGGTATGTGGCTACACCCACGGCTCCAAAGAGCCAGTCCTCTGCTCAGGCCATCCTGCCGGAATCTTCATTGGCCAGTGTTGCGGCAGGTGACAAACACATACCTGGACACCTGCCCCACATTCACCAAAACCTGAATCTCAACTCAGATACCCACATGGCCACCCTCAGACATGCCCACTAGACTGGGAGCAGGAGGAAGCAGCCCCCACCCTCAGGCCGACCCCCGCAGCTCTCACTGTGTCCCAAGCTGGGGTCTGGAACATTTTCTGGGGCCACCTGGGGCTGTGGAGGCCCCTGTGCGTGCTAAGTTTGGGGCAAGGACTACACACAGAGGTGTCACAGTATCTCAAGAACAGCCTCAGAAGGGAAGGTGTGAGGTGGGGTGGGCAGGGCTGGAGTGGGGGCAGGCTCTGCTGAGGGAAGGTGGAGGCAGATGGGCAGGACTGGGGAGCGGGGATAGGCTCTGCTGGCTCTTCCCAGCCCCAGGGGACTTCAGAAGAGCAACATGTTTGGCAGCTACATTATAACATGTATTTAAAAGCATTAAAAATATCTGCTGCTATAAAACCTCCGCCTGCAGGCAGGAGTTTATTGGGAACCACGAGTGTGCGGTGCTGGGGGCATCTCTCAGGCAGGCAGGATGGGCCCCCAGGCTTAACTCAGGACACCCCAACGGGACTGAGCGGCCTGTGGCCCTCGGCCTGTGGCCACCAAGCTCCGCCTGGCCCAGGCTCCCTGAGGAAGCAGAGTCCTGACTTCCAGGAAGGACAGGACGCGAAGGCAAGAACCCTCCTGGCCTGTGGGGCCACAGCACACCTTCCACGTCTGCGGTCAGCACTGTCCTTCCAGCCTCCCAGCCCCGGGCCCAACGTTCAGGTTAATAAGCAGAGCAGTTATTCGGCTCCCGGCGGGAGCTCCCCCGTTAGTTTCCAGGTTGTGAGCACATTCATACTTAAGACTGTTTCTCTTTGTGTTTTAAGGGTCTGTCTCTGTAGTAAACTGAAATGTTAACAGAAACGCAGCTGGGCCCCTCCCAGCGTGGTGGGCGCTTGGGGCAGGTGGGGCCCCCCCGGTGGGGCGGGGCTAGAAGGTGGCTTTGGAGTGTCCGAAGATGCAGATGGGGAAGTGCTTCACGTGGGAGGACCACTGCGCGGCCAGCTGGAAGAACTTGACATCGCTGCACTCCACACCGTCGATGAGGACTGTGGGAGAGGGCTGCCTGACCACCTGCCCGCCTGTACGCCTTTCCGCCCACCCTGCCCGCCTGTATGCCTGCCCGCCCGCCCGTACGCCTGCCCGCCTACCCTGCCCGCCTGTATGCCTGCCCGCCCGTCCGTACGCCCGCCCGCCTATACGCCTGCCCACTCTGCCCGTCTGCTGGTCCACCCTTCCTGCCCAGCCTGCCCACCAGTCCACCCTTCCTGCCCAGCCTGCCCACCCAGCCCGCCTGCCTGGCCTGACTGCTTGCCCATTTGCCCGGCCTGCCCACCTGCCTGCCTAGCCCACCAGGCTGGGTAGCAGCTGGGGTGCAGGATGAGAAGGAGCCCCATGTTGGAGGGCACTGACACCCTCCTCAGGGACTCAGGGGATCCAGAGCCATGCTGGCTCCTGAGGATACCCCTTCTGCCCCCTGCCCTCCCACACCTCAGAGCCCTGGGGCTGGCATCTCCCCCAGGGCTGCCTGCCGATGGAAGAATCAGACCCCACCTCCTTCCACCAGGTGCTACTTGTACACATCCACCTCCACCTGCACAGGTGTGGGAAGAAGACATTGGAAGCCTCCTTAAAACAGAGACCCCTGTGGGAGACAGAGCCACATCAACCTGGAGGTCAGCTGACCTGAGCTCCGTTTCTGAAGTTAATTGCAGAGCATCTTCTCTAGAATACTTTGAAATTATAAGTCATCATTTTTAGGCTGGACATGGTGGCTCACACCTGTAATCCCAGCAGTTTGGGAGGCTGAGGTGGGGGGATCACCTGAGGTCAGGAGTTCGAGAACAGCCTGCCCAACATGGCAAACCCCGGTCTCTATTAAAAATACAAAAAAATTAGCCAGGCGTGGTGGCAGACACCTGTAATCCCAGCTACTTGGGAGGCTGAGGCAGGAAAATCGCTTGAACCTGGGAGGCAGAGTTTGCAGTAAGCTGGGATCACACCACTGCACTCCCGCCCCAGTGAAAAGCAAAACTCCGTCTCAAAACAGAAAAAAAAGTCTGTAGATACAGTTGCTGATATAAAAAAATAAAGTCATTATTCTTAAAAAAGCAGAAAGGGTTGAAAACTCCTTTCTCAGCATTTAGAACACTGTCAGCCTCACCAAGGGCTTCGTCGAATGTGCCTACGCCTCAGGTGGTGGAAGGTGCGCTTTACACCGAGATGCCGCAGCTGCCGTGTGGGCTCCGAAGTGGCCCTGCTGTGCTCTCGCCTGTGCCCCACTCCACACAGACCCCGGGAGCGCGGAGCTCACCCCGAAGCATGTTCTGCTGCTGCTTGGCAGTGCAGATGAGCCGGCTGATCCCCTCGATGCACTGGCTCTTGGATTCCACATCCCTGTCCTTGGCTTTCTTGGGCAGAAACATCACTGGGAGGAGAAGAGACACGCTGCTGTCACTCTGCTGCTCCTACAGGGCCAGGCCCGGGGCGTGTGGGGAAGGCTCGGCCCTGCACACCCAGGAAAACTGGTGACCGGCCCAGCTGGCCTCTGCCTGAGGCTCTGGTCACAACTGCCTGACCCTCACTGCCCTCAAGTCATGCTCCCTCACCCCACCAGCCCTGCCTGTGCACGTGGGTTGCCCAAGGCCAGCTGGGGGCTGCCATCCCTGCAGGCTTCGAGCCGCCCTCTCCCACCGAGCAGCCCCACCTCACCCTTCTTGTTCTTCTCCTTGGTGACCACGGTCATGGACATGGTGGGCGTGGCCGCAGCCTCGCCGCTGCTGGGCAGCCTGCTGACCTGGAGGGACCGGAAAGTGCACTTGAGCGTGTTTTTGGTGGCAGGCAGGTCCTTCTTCTCAGCGTCCCTCTTCCTGTCCGTGGGCAGTGCTGCCGTCCAGTAGTCCACCTGCAGCCCCATCAGCTCGGCACCGACACCCTGGCTGGGAAAGGCAGAGGGAGGTGCTCACACCTGCATCCTTGCACCTGGTGATGGGGGCGTCACTGTCCATGTGACAGGCCAGGGGGTGACAGCCAGCACCTGTCCCAACTTGCCAGCAGAGGGGCGCCGGGGGCTTGAAGCCTGCTCTGTGGAGCTGCCCACATGCCCGGTCACCTCCAGGAGGGTCCTGCACAAATTATAGGGAGCCTGGTGACAGGCCTGGGCGGCCTGTCCACCCGCTCTCCGCGCTGCCCCTCGGAGTCTTGAGGGCCCACGTGAGCCAGCTCCCTCATTCTCAGCCTGGAAGGAGCTGGAGGCTAGAAACACAGGAGGCGGGGGGGCCGGGGGTCTGTGGTGGGAGCCCTGCACACAGCACCAACACCATGCCTGGCCTCAGGCCCCACAACCCCCAACAGCTTAGCTTCACCTGAGTAAGGTCTGCTCCGGAGAGATCCGGGCAGGCTATCGGGGCTGCAGCATAGCTGTCAAAGCTAACCCCATGGGACTGTCTAGAGATTCCCGTTTCTTGTGCCTTCTGCACTCAGCTTGATTTTTAAAAGCCCCAACTGTGTAGGGCCAGGTGCAGTGGCTCATGCCTGTAATCCCAGCACTTTGGGAGGCAGAGGTGGGTGGATCACAAGGTAAGGAGATCGAGATCATCCTGGCCAACGTGGTGAAACCCCATCTCTACTAAAATACAAATAATTAGCTGGGTGTGGTAGCATGCACCTGTAGTCCCAGTTACTCAGGAGGCTGAGGCAGGGGAATCACTTGAACCTGGGAGGTAGAGGTTGCAGTGAGCTGAAATTTCGCTATTGTACTCCAGCCTGGAGACAAAGCAAGACTCCGTCTCAAAAAAAACAAACAAAAAAAACACACAAACCCAACTGTGTGTAGAGCCAAGAGACAGCCCAGCATAGCACCCACATTTATTCACCGTCCGGCAGTTTCTGTCCCCCAGAGGTCCTGCCCCCAACCTCCGCTGTGGCAGGAGAGGACCCAGCCGCCCTGCAGAGCCCCTCCACCTGTGCGGCTGACAGGATAGGTGCCCTGGGAGGTGGGTGTGATGTGGGGATGGCCAAATCAGGCGGCGTGTGATGCGGCGGGCAAGTGAAACAGGCTGACCCGCATCTTTACCTGGGGGAGGACAGGCCTCCGCTCACTGACGGGGAGGAGGGTGGGGTGGGCGAGGCCTCCTTGGCCGCGGGAGATGTGGACGGTGGGGTGGAGGAGAGTGCACTGGAGCCCGAGGGGGCCGCGTCGTCCGAGTCGCCTTTGGGGAGAAGTCACAGAGCCGGCTGAGCCCACCTGTTGGGCTTCCCCGGGTGGCACCAGGATGTGGCCAGAAGGCCAGGTAGCCCCTGGGGGTGCAGGGTGGGAGTCCCTAGTGGCCTGTGTGAGATGGGGGGGTCTCGGATTCTCCTAGGTTTGGGAAAACGGCCCTGCCAGCCTTGGTATGGGGCTTCAGGAGGACAGCGGTCCCTGGAGGACAAACCCCGTGTGGAGCAGAAGCATCATAGCCAGACTGGGACTCGTGGCTGTCTGGCCCCAAAGGGCTGGTCTGGTCTGCAGGACCAGAGTGACGGTGCTCCCCCGGGGCTCAGGGCGCCCATGAAGGTGTTGGGACCACTACCCATGGGCCACTCATAAGGCCTCAGGGTCGGATGGGGTTACCTGATGTGGCCGAGGATGGCTCCACAATTCCAACCTTCACAACCTAGAAAGTGACAGGCACTGGCTGGTGGAAGCCATGTGGTTCAGCTTGCCCACTACCCTCCCCCTGTGGCCACCACTCCCAGATACAGGAGGGCCAGGACAGTGCCGGGTCCCTCCTGCCTTCTCTCCCCATCTGTGGAGCAGAGCCAAGCTCAGGGCAGCCACATGGGGACAGACAGCGCTCAGGGAGCTCGGGTTCAGCAGGAGGGACTGCCCTCTCCCAAAGGCGGCCTTCAGGGCAGCAGCAAACCATGTGTCCCGTAAGACCAGGACACCGGCAGGAGGGACCCTGGTGGGCCGACAGGACAGACCCAGGACCTGGTAGGTCTTACATGGCAGCCACGAGCCACAGGTGGCTGCGTAGATCCACCATGAATCCCAGTGACAGAACAGGGCCTTGGTTGCGGGAAGGCCTGTGTGCCTGGGCACAGATGCTCGTCAGTGCAGAAAGCGCCTTGAGCAGCTGCTGTTCAAGATGAACTCCGCCCTCTCAGAGGGCCGGCCATCGCCCCAGAGCCCTCAGCAGACCCAGCCACTGGACGGTGCATAGAAAGGCCTCTGTTCTACCAGTGGGGAAACTGAGGCCCAGAGACCCCTCCCCTGCCTGGGCAACTCATCTGCCAGGCCCCATGGATCTCACAGCAGACACCTGGCGGGAGGGAGGCCACACAACGGGATGACAAGATGGACAGGAGGCAGGCTGTGGAAACCCAGGCCTGGCAGGGATCGGCCTGGCTGGCAGAAGCAGCCCTTGCCTTGGGCAGGAACCGAAGCCCACACACCTGCAGGCCACAGCCCCAGAGTAGGCAAAGGGAAGCTCCCTCGGGGCCCTGGGCTCCTAGAGGACAGAGGTGTCCTCCCAACCTGGGAGGCAGTCTCCTCTCCTGAGACACTGGGCCAAGCCCGCTGGGTGTCCCTAAGGCCTTGCCCCACCGACCTGTCTCTGCTTCCACATATCAGCCCCCCAGGCAGAGCTGGGGGGAACCAACAACCTCCGGGCCCACACCCCACTCCGGCAGGGGAAGGAAGCAAGCTTTGAGACAGGCCACATGGGAGGGCAAATACCCAGCTCACATCTGTGGGAGGGTTTTGGAATATATCGTCAATCCCCAAATGTTCTGACTGTAAGACATGTTGGCAGGTGAGCGGTTTCCCGTCACATACAGCTGGCCAGTACTCACCCCAACAAAGGGAATGAACTTTTGGGAGGACTCTTCGTCAGGGCTAAGAGCAAGGAAACAGACAGTTAAGCTCTCCTCAGGGCACAGCCCCGCACGGTGGGCACAGCTCCCTCTTGGCCTGAGAACCTGGCGCGGCCCCGCCGGACAGCCTTGCCTCAGTCGGCCCTGCCCAGTGTGCTCCAGCCCCACCCATCCCCAACCACTGCCGGCCCTGGCCTGGCCCCTCCTGCCATGCCGCCATGCGGGAAGGACAAATGGGTCTCTGTGCACCCATGGGCAGGAGACCAGGCCGGAGGGCACAGCTCTGCCGAGGGATTCACTCTGTGATCCTCAGTGCCTGACGCCACACAGCCAGCTAAGCCCCGTCTAGCCTGCGCCTCCACTGACCCACCAAGCTGGACACTCCCTGCTCCACTGGGAGGAGGGCAGCTGCCTGTGCCCCAGGACTTTCAGGCACAGCCGGGACCTTCTCCGGTGATCAGCAGCACCAAAGCCAGGGCGGGGAGGTTTTCTCCAGACCATCTGGGTAATGTCCATGCCACAGGAGAGACCAGGCTTTGGCTGCCGTGGACCACCGTAGACCTCCGTGTTCTACCAGAATGCCCCATACATGGCCTGCAGGCGGGCCCAGCATGCCCGCGGCCGGCTGTGTCTGAGTGAGCTGACGGGCTCGGTGAGTGGTGGAGGTTTTGCCTGGACTTGACTCCACACAACATCCAGCAGAACAGCGGCCTCTCCTGGAAGTCAGTCACAGCCAATCCATGTGAAGATGCCAGGGGTATGAGGGCAGGAGCCGTGGGGCTGCAGAGAGGACGCGTCTGTCTTCCCCTATGATATGGGCAGCTCAGGCAGGGCTGTCCTGTGGTCCAGCTAGTGCAGGCTCCTGCTGACCGTGCCACTGCAGCCTGGGCTGGGCCCGGAGCTCTCCCGCAAGACAAGGGCCAGCACAGCACAAGGTCCTGAGACAGATGGGGAGAGGTGGGGCATATCTCCTCCTAGGCCCCACAGAAGATCCGCAGGGCAGGGCCTATCCTGAGTGGTGGGCTGGCTCTGGCTCCCCTCTTTCCTGCTCTCCCCTGGCCTCAAGGCTCCCCGTGGTCTGCACTTAGGAGGTGCCTCCCCACCTGGCTTCCTCAGCCAGACCACATCAGTGGCCGGTGCTGTCTCTCTGGGCAGTTTGCCCAGCTGTTTCTTCCGTCTCGTTTCCCCAAACTGCAGAGTCTGACATAACAAGTGGCTCTTACAGGTGGAGACCACGCACACACACAGTGCAGAGAAGTGGCCACTGCCCCTGGAGCACCGGGGACAGGCCAAGGCACAGGGCGACACCCGGGACAAGAACGGCCAGGCCAGCAGGGTGCTCCCTCAGGGACAGCCCTGCACCAGGTGCAGAACGTGGGTCTGCCCAGTGGCCCCAGCCCTCCCTTGGGTTGTTTCCCAGAACAGGGTCATTGAGGGAGAATCCCTTGCAGGAAACAGGCCTGGGGAGGATGCCACAGGCCCAGCCTGGCCTCTGCTGGGAGCACTAGCTCCAGACCAGCAGCACTGTCTCCCCAAGAGCCCTGCAGGGCAGAGGCTTAACCCAGCGCTCCCCACAGTGTGTCCACGAGCAACACACTCCCAGGAGGCAGCCCCTGCAGCTGGTCCCAGCAGGTGCCTTCCCAGTCTTTGCAGGGCCGGCGTGAGGGGACAGCAGCAGGCAATACCCACCCTCCCCGGACGCTAACCTGGACAGTTCCCATCCTACCCTGGGCAGAAGGCCTGGTAATGCCTCTGGATGAAACCACCTACAGATTCCATCCATCCCATTACAGATGCCCCCAGCCCAGTTCCACTTCTAAAGAGAAGAGAGTTGAAACAGAAACTTTCCCCTCTTGTCCATTTCAGATAATATAAGGCGCTGCAAATCCTGTGTTTAGGACCGCCTCTGCCTCAGGGCGGCCTCTTGGCCCTGCAGCACCCTGGCTCTGTCCACAGCTGTCAGGCAGGAGCACCTCGATGTGTCCTTGACATCCCACTATCCTCACCGGGCAGATCGGCGTTTGGAAATCTCAGTGACATCAGTGTCCTTCCAGGCACACGAAAGCACAGAAGGCAGGAGGCAGCTCCTGGTCCCCAGGGCATGGGTGGCTCCAATCCCCAGGGCCACCTGCCCTCTGCCAAGCCAGACCCCCCAACAGCCATGGCAAGGTGGCCTCCTGTCCATGCTCTGCTCCGAGGCCCACAGTGCAGTGTGTGGCAGATGAGGGCTGAACGCAGGAGACGTCACAACACAGGGATGTTGCTGGAACTCTCAAAGCCAAGCTGCACCTCTGGGCCATGCAGACAGCACCCGGCCCCGGACATGGGCCGGTATGACAGGGGTGACACCGGCTGGCCACTGAGACCTCACCCTGACCCCGGAGCCACACACATCCGTGGAGGCAAAGTGGTCAGGAGTGTAAGGGGCACAGAGAGTGCAGACGCCCTGGGGGCCACTCTGCATGGCCCTGGGGAAGCTGCTGGATGCCTAAGCAG